CCTTGAACAACATTGAAAATAATTTTCATAACTAAATATCAAAAAATCAATGAGTAAGGAGACATTTTTCATGCTGGGGTCTTTTAGACCCCATGTGTCATTTACGAGATTCTTGAGAGGTGTGGCATTTAAGGGTTAACAAGTAGACGTATGGTTGGATCTGTTAAATTTAGTTTTTTGTTTAAATTAAATACAGTAACGAAAATAGTAACGATTCGTTACTTCTGAGTAACGGTAACGATAACGACTTACTTTTCAAAATTAGTAACAATAATCGTAACGAGTTATTTGTTTTTAATCGGTAACGAGTAACGGCCGATAACTAGTTAATAATAATAATAATAATATTTATTTAACTTCGGCTGCTGCCAAGATTATACTCTTTAAATTTGAACAGCTCTGTCTTGCAAACTATTCGGAATATGATGCATGTCTGAGTAAATCTTTTTTTTAGAATGACCTATATATTAAGACTTCTCAAAAAAATCATCGATCTCTCCTCCTGCGACATTTTGTATATCTGCTTATATTTCTGACAAAAAAAATGCATTTGCTTTATATTTATTTTTTTGGGAGGAGGGAAAAAAGAAGGTAATAGTATATTGTGCACCAAAGGGCGAAAGTAGTGTTTTTCAGACGAGTGTGAAGTTTGCCGCCTTCGTCTTCGGCTCGGGCGGCAAATCACACGAGTCTGAAAAAGCTTTCGCCCCGAAGTGCACACGATATTTTTTACAATATCTTTACGGAAAGTTCGACCTCCATGTCTAGAGAGAGGCGAGAGTGGCCATTTCACGCCAGGACGGCATAGCGGGACGAAAGTGATCACTTTCCGCCCTAGGGAAGAAAGTGGTTAGGTTAGGTCCCGCTAATGCCGTCCTGGCGTGAAATTGGTCACTTTCGCCCCTCTCTACAAGCATGGAAAGTCGAACTTTCCGTGGAGGTGTTGTGAAAAAATTTTTAATATAATTTGTTCTTCCAGCGCTCTGGAGTCCGTATTAGGCACATTTAAAAGAGGCGTGGGCCTTGAGAAATAACAAAAATCTCCTGTTCATGTTTTACGAGAAGATGACACACGTAAGTACTTTATTTTTGTTCTTAATGTACCAAATATACATTTTTAATACATATTCAATATAATATTTTATGAAATAATCTCTTTATTTTAATTTTTAAAAGTGATACGTTGTATGAAATAAACTCTTCTATTTTTCTTTCTTTATTCTTTCTTATCTTAATCATTTAGTGCATACAATGTTAAAAAAATGTTTTATGATATACTCTAATATATTTTGAATAATGAAAATAATATGATTATAATTCATCTTTTTGCTTCAAATATTTAAATTCCAAACTGAACTCATATATATTAATTAAATAATAACTTTTTTGTTAAATAATTAACGTCCTGTTGCTTGCTCTTTTGACTTTTATGTGAGAATGTAGAGAAAATTGAAATTAAACGTTTTCTAAGATTATCCGGAAGCAATTAAGAAGGTAGAGAAATTTTTGAATAAGACACACTGACGAAGAAGTTAGCAAGGTTGTGGATTATCTGGACACACACACACACACACACACACACACACACACCACACACACACAACACACACACACACACACACACATTAAGAATTTCCGAAACAATTCGATGGTCAACTACTCTGAATTGAGAGCTTGTGGGATCATCGCCGAGAAAAGTTTCGTGAGAAAGGGAGGCACTCTAATTGGAGAGATATATTTACTGCGGAAATAAATGCGAAGGCAATGGATCAAAGAAAATCTCACAAACACTGATTTGCGTTTCCCATTTTTCAAAAATAATAACAACAACATAAATATTGTAACAACAATTGAAATGTCGTCAAAAAATCAAAAAGATTTTAATCTCTAAATAAAGTTTAATTATTTAATAAATGTACATATTTTACGCATTAATAAGAAGAATTTAATCGAAATAATTACACACAGAGGGCTTATTATAAGAGTTAATAGTTATTGATAGTGTCAACTATGTACAGAATACCGATATTATAATAAAATACCGTTAATATAATAAACGTTACTGTCATTAATTAAAAACCTTTTTAGCAAAATATAATTGTCAGATATATCATTTAGATAAAGCTATAATTTTTTAATAATAAAATTTATGAAATATTTATTAATTAATTATCTACAACATAAAAAATGTTTGAAGAACTTACTTCGTCCTTTTTTTGTTTATTACTTACGCCAAGTTTTTATGCTTTATTATAGTTTGAAGTTCGTCTTATGCGACTTAGAATTTGCGTGAAATCACAATAGAATTGTATATAATTGTGTGTATATAATTTAATGTACGTACATATAAATTTATACAAAATTATCTTTTCAAGAAGATAAAAAAATTACGCCAAGTACACGAGCTCCTTAGCCGGTATTCATAGTCGGATCTTATTTCAAGACCGCCTTAAGTAATGTTTTAAGTTGCTAATACGGTCATTTGATTGACGAAGTCTTAAGACTGCCTTTGACCAGACTTAAGACGATCTTAAATATAAGATCCAATTGTGAATACTGGCCCTTGTATCTTTAATTATTTTTTGTGCAAAAGCCTATTTTATTATCCACAAAAAAAGAACTTTACAAAGACGAAAAAGATTTAATATAAAAAACGCCAATAACTCATAATCCCGTAAAATAAGAAATCTTACAAAAATGAAAAAAGACATGCCAAGTACATAAAACAAATAAGCAAAAAATACAAAAAAATATCTAGCAGTATGTAATAAATGTTTAAAGAATTGAATTATTCAAAGATAAATTGTCCCAAAATAGATATGAAATTAATACAATTATAACTAATAAGTATTTTAATACTAAAAAAAGACCTTGAAAAAGCTTATATAGCTGTAAAAAACTTACTTAAAAAATATACTGCTAAAAAACGGGTAGAACTTCAGTGTACTTAAGTATAAGAATTATATAATGCGTCTAAAAGTATATTCAGCAAAAACTTAATGTATCGAAAAGTGTACGTAAAAGAAAGTTTTATACATCCAAAGGTATATGCAGAAACATTTTAATGTATTCAAAAGTATAAGCAGCAATAGTTTAACGCATCTACTGTTATTTCATGTAAATTTGAAAACTCAAAAAAATTATTATAGGACTAAAGATGATTAAAGATCAACTGGATTATACTAAAGAAAATACTTGGTGTGCTCAGGTTAAGTTCATTTAATAAGTACAAAAGAAATAATTAAATGAATAAAAATAATTAATTCTAATTAAAGCCACCCACACACACAAACACACACACACACACACACACACACACATTTTAATGACTTTAAATTTAGCTTAAAAATTTTAAAATTAATCAAAAAATAGGAACTACAGGTAATATTCACTTACTAGATTTTTTGTCCGCACAAAATCTATTCCCATTTCCCCAAACTTACTCATTAATTAGAAGCACCAATAGAACTCCATGAAACCCCAAATTTTTATCTTCATAATAGCCATCCCTATAAAATTAGTAATCTTTTGGTAACAGTTTCATCAAAATCATCAACAGAAAATTAGAAAAATGTTGGCACTGGTTTCAAGAAAATCGATCCATTAATAAAAAATTATCCATTAATGAAAAATTAAACTTATCCTCCATAAATTAAAAAAAATGTTGGCACTGGTTTCAAGAAAACTAATTAATACTTATTATTTCTCGAAATTTGAATAATTTCCAAACTGGATTTCAAAAAATTGGTAACGAAAAATTATTCATAAAAATTATCCATAAAAAAATTCAGCTTGATATCTCAAAGTTTGCTGAAATTAGAGCAATCATTGCACGTACATTTTTTTTAAACAGAAATCGGAAACCTCTTTACTATTAGCAATTTTTCTAATTCTATTACATTCTTTAGTTCTTTTGACCTCTATCTATTTATATAAGTACCTAACGTCCGTAGGTCTGACTGCGAACTAATTGTTATTTCCCGAGAAATTGGAAAAATTTCGTAACCGGTTCTACTACATTCTTTAGTTCTTTTTACCCTTATTTTATATATATAATTCTTTAAGATTCGGTCAATTATTTCCCGAGAAATTTGAAACTGAACCGGTTTCCAAAAAAATCTGTAACAAAAAATTATACACTTTATAGCACTCTCCGGAAAACTACCCCTGTTTCATATATTTTTAGTAAAAATTCGGTCCACTAACGAATGAGTAGTTCGCGGTCAGACAGACATATGCATACATACAGACGACGACAGTACTTATATATATATAGATTATATATGGACTACATAATTTTTTAAAATTACGCAAAAATATATCAGTATATGATAATGAATGATGGTAATTATCCATTAATTAGATCTATGAGTGCTATAATATGTATAGAATTTATTTGCTAACTGATTATTGTTTTCATTAACCTGACATTTTGAAAAAAGGAAGGAATTTTAACTAATTATTTTACTATTTAATTTATTTGCAAATCTTAAGAATCTTGCAGAACATGTTGAAACTGTGTATAAAATTATTTATATTTTTCTATATATTATCGTATGTATTGAATCTTGAGATTGCAATGAAGTTTACTGGCTCTTATTATCTTTGAAAAAAATTATTTGTTCAAATGTATTTAAATAAATGTAGAGATTATATATATATATATAAATGTATTTAATTTATATCTTTTATGTACAGGATAAATTTCAATATAATTAAAGATTTATTTAATTAATAATTTTTACGTTTTAATTGTGACATAATCAAAATAAGACACGATAAAATGTCTCGCGCCCACTGCGGAAAGGGACACGCGAAAACGTGAATAAGACGCGCGAGCCGAGTGCGATAGAATTTTACGATTCTCGTGGCTGGCGACGCTACGAGCTAGCAAGAAAGAGACTGCAGATGTATGTCTACGGTTTTCAGCCGCTCGAAGCTGGCCGAACGCCGAGCACACAGCCGCCACATACGTACGCGTCACGCGGCTCTTCGCTGCTATGTGCGCGCGCGTTCGTGCCAGGTGGTGGAAAGTCCCAGTGTCCACGAAATAACAGCATTGTGTGGACCTACTGCCTTGCTAATAAACGGTAAGTAGAAAATCGATAGAAATTAGTTTTTCTGATTAATATTTTGATTCATTTCCGAGTTAAATTTCCGGTAGATAATTAATTCTTTTTATTTACTGTGATTTTTGTGTGACTTATTGTTAGATCGCTATAACCTATATCAAACAATGAGATAAAAGATACATTAAATAAATAAAAAAATACATTTTGAAAAATTTTAGTTATTTAAAAGCGTAAGCGTATGCGTAAGTGTAGTGAATGTAACCAATTTAAATTTTGCAATATTTTTTCTTTGGTGCACGTGAACGTGTGTATGCCGTATGTTTTTCTACCATGTGAAACATACTACTACCACGTGGTGGAACATGTTATAACGTATCGGAAAATGAGATAAAATGAGTAAGAGTATGCGGTAAGACGTAAGCAGTAAAAATTGACCAACTACAATCGATTATTCTTGGATTGTAAAAATCTTATTAGTCAATAGCTTACTCCCAGGTAGCACATACACGTTTCAAAAATGTTTTATAAGCGTTTTTCCAACCGTTTTATAACCGATTTTTAGAAATAACATTTAAAAAACTATTATAGAAACGTTTTGTTTTAATTATCATTAAAACAAAAATTCCTACTTTTCACGTCTTTTGAACGTGTTTATGACGTCTTTGAAACATGCGTGAGAATGTTCTAGAAGCTTTATGCATATATCATCTATGACGTCTATTCTTTTTCGAAGAAATTCCTGAACTGGTGCACCTGCACATTGCGTTCGTGCAATAAGTTAAAGTAAAACAAAATTATACTTGTCTCACTCTAACTTAATTGCATTACTGATGTGCACCAGTTCAGGAAGTTCTTCAAAACGAAACACACGTATAAATCTTCTTTCAATGGCCACGTTCAGCAGAACGTTTGATTTGCAATAACTGTTGGAAATTTTCTAAGCTCAGATTTGTCCGATGACAAATAGATTAAGACCGATAGGACAAAATTAACTTAAATAAATAAGTGGATATATGTGTGCATGGATAAAATGATTTATTTTGTGCATCAATAATTAGTGCAATAAATGTTTCAAAAAAGGCTGTTAAAGCTATTATATATACAGATAAAGCAAATTATAATTTTGAAAGAAAAAAATTAACAAATAGGTATTTTTGTTAACTGTAGAAACGTAAAAAATACGTTCCTTAAATCATGGTTTCAAAAACATTTTTGTTCAAACGTTTTTTAATGGTTCTTTACGGTTATGAAACTATGTATACGTTCAAAAAACGTTTTAAAAAATAATATGTGCTACCTGGGCTGCTTACGCGCCTTATCTACTTTTACGACTATTGTAGAATAGAATTTTAAAGTCATTTAGAAATTAAGCGTAAATCTGGCGAAAGTGAGCAATCTAAATTGTTTAATTTTTTTGTTCTTTCTTTTGTGCTCGTGTATGTACGTGTGTGCCACGTGGTAGTAGAAGAACACAGAGCTCCCGACATTTCAGATTTATAAAGAAACATTTTTCTACATTAACAAAATTAAAAAATAACTGTTATTTTCTTAAAAATAATTAATTATTTAATAATGATATTCAACACACAAACGCGCAAACTATGTAATAATGTCAGTACTAGCAATGCGAATGAAAGTAAGATAAACTTATTGTTAGATTATACACACACACACACACACACACACATATAATCTTAACGCTATAATTATTAATGTATACAATATTATAATGCATTTTACCATATGCTAAAAAAGAGAGGATTTATTAATCTCCATATTTTTTGTCTTTTTTTAGAGAGACAATATGACAACCCACAATAAACCTTTAAACTGTGAGAGTTGTAGGCAATATCCCTACATCTGCAGAATATCCGTAGGAGAAGAGGGTAGTGTCAACTTTGTCTATCAATTTGTGAAGAAAATATTTGTTCCCACGAGAAGAAACCGTCAGAATTATTACACATTCTATATTGCCCCTAGAATAATTGGACCACCTCACGTTTTAAATTATATCGAACAATTTCATTTACCATGTTTTTTTGGAGATGAAGACTATTTCAGAGTATGTGTATTTCCTGGTATCGTCTGTTATTGTCCTGTACAAAGTAATCGCTATCTATAAATTTATGTTACAAGATTTTCTATTTGACACATTTCGATTTTCTAATATAGTTGAGAAAGGATGATTTTGATCGTTTCGATATTTCAATATCTCCGTGGCAAAACGAAGGTTTCATGAGATCATTTATTGATGGTACTCCATGGTATACAGCGGACCATATGACGAACGAAAATAATTTTATTGGTATGTAATATTCGAATCGATAAATAAGACATTGTTAAAGAAGATACGCTTTTGTTGAGAAGAGAGTATAATTATATTTTCTATTTTTAAGATATCGAGTTTCATGAAGCTGTATATCCAATCAGAGTCTCTATTTACGAAATAGATAATCCTGGAAGCGTAATTCAAATTTTGGCTCAAGATTCCAATAATCACTGGATTCAGTTGTGGGATGAATCGTCTCAGATTGTACCCCAGAAATTAAGATTATTTTCTCCACCGTTATCGCATCCGTGCGACTTCAAAACCAAAATGCTCAGACTAGTGTTTAAGGACAACTCACGTAAATCTTATACAGAACTGGAAGCTGTGATGCTTATCGGTACATCAGATTTGATCCTTCCTAGAAATCCTAACGAGAGTTTAAGTAATCTGTTAAAAAGAATTAACAGCATGTACTCTCCGCACCACGACGATGTTCATAATTTAACAGCAGATTCAAAAAGTGCACACTTGGATATAGTTCATCTGCAACGAAATTTTCCTGAATATTGTGTTATTTATAAAAGGTATTACTATTGTACATTAGGTAATATTTAAATCCTTTTCTCCTGTTAATAATGAAAATTAATTTGTTCCGCGGCGATAATATTTGCAGCGAAATAAGAAGGATTAATTATAAGAGTAATTTGAAATACGAAAAGGCATCTCAAGAGGTAATCCCTGGATATGTGCAACCTCTTGGACAGAGATACTCGCGTCGTATTCTAAAAAGTCATTCCAATTGTGTAAACAATATGAAACTTTCTTCGGATGAATCCAAGGAGCTATCACGTTGCAGTTTATCTGCGCTTCCTGTAAAGTATTCTAAGAAATCTATTTCTCATCACAATATTTATTGCAATGACATTTCGTACTTTGAGTATTAAAGTATTTATTTTGTATTATATTAATTATAGAAAAATAACTTTCTCCGCCAGTGATTAAAACCAAAATATTATTTTATTTCTCGACTAACTGGCACAATGTACAAAAGTATGCACCACATGTTTCGGCTCGAGGTTTGAGCCTTTCTCAAGTGCGGTCTAATCAAATTGACTCGTCATGTGCAGGTACTCAAAAGACATGCCTGTGTTCACGAAAATGTTCCAACATGGTCATAAAGTACAGGTGTCTTATATGTATATGTCGAATTTCAAAAGTTAGCATGTTAAAGATTCTCCATGGCGACATGTTATGTGTGTGTAAGTACTTCGGAGTCCGCGTGAACACAGGCATGTCTTTTGAGTACCACATGACGAGTCAATTTGACGATTAGACCGCACTTGAAAAGGGCTCAAACCTCGAGCCGAAACGTAGTGTACAATTTTGTACATTGTGCCAGTTAGTCGAGAAATAAAATAATATTTTGGTTATATTAATTATATTCTATTTTTACAGAATGAAATACTACTAAAAATATTTAAATACTTAGATTTGGTAACATTATGCCGCATGAATGAAGTAAACAATGAGCGCTTTGATATTTTATCACGGGATTCTCTACTCTATACACGTTTGAACATGCGATGCATTAAATCTGAAAAATATATGTGCGATATATTTTGTTATTTTACACCTAGATGTAAATATTTGCAACAATTAGATCTTACAGAAAGCAACTTTGATGTTAATGATTTCGTAAACTTTCTTGATAATTGCGGCAGGCGTTTAACGCATTTAAGATTAAGAGACTGCTACATGGACTTAAATCCTGTCCTGCTCAAAATTTCAGAGACATGCAAAAATTTGAAAGGTAATGCATATAGTATATGTATATAATTGTCAAGATTATGGGTAAATTGTATAACAACTAATACAAATTTTTCTTAGAATTGGATCTAAGTTTTTGTCGGATAGACGACGAAGAATTTTTGTATCTCGAGGGACTAAATAATTTAGAACATATAAACTTTTCTGGTACACGTATAACAACTGAATGTCTTTGCAAAATACTGCATAATAATCAACGGTTGCGTGAGTTACAATTGACAGGCATTATACATGATGTAGTTCTAATAGAGTTGGCAAATTCGTGTCGTGACTTGGAAGTAATAGATTCACTGCACGCACGTAGTTTTACATCTCAGGGTATTAATGCTCTCGCTAACTGTAAGAATTTACAAAAAGTGAATTTTAATCTGTAAGTGTGTGTGCTACATTTTCTTTCAAAATACACATTATTGTATTCTTTATTGAAATTTGTTTGCTCCTCTTGCGAGCATCTTGAAAAAGTTACATGAATTTTTTGTTCGCAATTAAAATACTGTACTAATTATATGATTTTTGTTACAGAGACGGATACCCAGTTACTGATGACAGCTTATTTAGATTACTTTCTTCTTATCAAAACTTGCAAGAAATTTATCTGGACCTTGTTGTCCTCACTGATCACCGGTTGGAATTATTAGCGCAGTGCAGGCACTTGAAAAAGTTATATCTTGACTTTGTGAAACTTGATATACTTGATAATTGGTCCGTTATTTTGAAACAATGTCCTAAACTGCAGGAGTTTTATCTCAGTAACTGTAATATAAGTAATCAATTAGTTAATCAATGGAAGGAAAGATATCCGCATGTGTCCGTCTATACATACAGATAAAATGAAGTTTATCTTTACTATTTTGAAGTATAAAAATTAATAATTTTTTTTAAATTATCCGATGCACAAGATTGTAAAAGAAGTTAATGCCTAATAAAAACCAGATAGTCGTATTTATTTATAATTTTTGAACACTTCTTTCTGTTTCTGTTTTTTCATAATTTGACTTTTTTTGGGCAATAATGTCATTTTTTTAATAAATATTGCAAAAGCTACATTAATATCATCGTCAGTAAATTCTTAGTTTTTTTTCCGCAACCGCATGT